GTGTCGAAAGCCTTGCTGAAGTCGAGGTGGACACCATCCACAGCTCTCCCCTCATCTACCCAGCCAGTCATGCCTTCATAGAAAGCTATCAAGTGGTCAGGCAGGATTTCCCCTTGGTGAATCCATGCTGACTGCTCCTGGTAACCTTCTGTTCCTCCACTTGCTTGATGATGACAAGTACGGGCACACGTGTCGGAGGCAGCGCCGGGGTCGGCTGCGAAGCACGCGGCGAAGGGTCCCAGGCACGGACAGATCACCCACCTGTTGATTGTGGACTTGTGGAGCAGAACGGTGCCAGCCTTTGTCCGATACGCGTAGCTGTTGGGTTTGAACTTCCCCTGACGGGTCACTTTGCCTTGTCTCACCTGAAACGAGAGGAGCAGCTCCAACGCCTGCAGGGCCCGCAGGCGGCCAGCCCAGCTCTCCCCACAGCTGCCTCTCCTACGCCCGCGTGGGGGGGCGGAAAAAAAAAACCTCCACCGCGTTAGCGGAGCACGTACGTGTTGGTGACCGGACCTGGCAGTCACCGAACGCTGCGCAAGGGGCAGCAGACAGGAGGAGCAAGATGCCACCGCGATGGCTCCCAGAGAATCCCAGAATAGAATCAAAGAATCATTAAGGTTGGAAAAGACCTCTAAGGTCATCGAGTCCAACCGTCACCCCAACACCACCGTGCATGTGAACCCCAAGGACCCAAGCGTGGGCTGGCTGTAATCGATGGCCTTGGTGGACTTGTCAATGCGACAGAGAAGACTCGCTCGGACTCGGGCGTCAAGAGCTGAAGAGTTAACGAAGAGAGCAATTAGCTCCTGCTTATCTTCTCAGACAGAATTAGGGGGGATCACCCGTCACGATACACCGAGTGATCTGCGGGGCGCAGCGGAGCCCGCGCAGCCAGAGGTTGCTTCGGATAAAGAACAGACGGCCCGCGGAAGCTCAGACCATGACGCCCGCTCCGCAGGGCCGAGTCCCGCTTCTGACGACACGACGTTCCACGCCAAGTCAGTCGATAGACAATAACTGACTTAGTGCCACTTGGCAAAAAGATTTTCAAACACGGAAAAACTGGCACTTGAAAACTCTCTTGGGAGGAGGAGCCAAGGGAGAGCTTCACCTGACGGACGGGTCGATGGGGCTGAACCTCTCCTCCCCCCCCAAGAAGGGACGCCTTTTGGTAAGAGTCGCACCCCTGACTTGATCCGGGAACACGTTGTTAACGAAAGCTCTAAACCATTACCTCGAGCTCAACTTTTGTAGACAGCACATTTACCAACGGCAATCCCCAATCAATCTGTGATACCTGGTGCTCAAATAAATCACCTCTTGTGTCAACTTTGTGAAACTGTCTCAGTGAAAGCCCCTGGGAGGGCTCCGACAGGCAAATGTTGAATCTGAGAAGTGGCCACACACCCAACCCCTTAGACAGAAACCGTTGGCCAAGCCTGGGACTAGATCCAGCCACACCTCGACTCCTCTCTGAGAGCTTAGAGCGCAAGGAGGTCTGCTCTGAACCTCGCGACTCAACGGGAGGGCTCTCCTTTTGTCGCTTTTATCAGACTCCTTACCCCTCTTACCGCGACAGGCGTCACTCAGCA